AGAAAATAAAATCAAATTAGAAGAGAGAATCCCTCAACATCTTCGGTAGTGTCCACGAAGTCGAGCATAACTCTCTCATCCGGACTCCAAATCGACTGGTTGCGGTGGCATTAGAAAGCTATTTCAGTGGGCTACAATTCCCGTCTGACGTCGAAATTCCAAATTCGGACTCGAACATGGTCAAAATTGGATAACAAAAGCGATCATGAAAATACGTACTACAGTTCAAGGACGTGAATGCGCATCAGGAAACGTGCACAAAAACACTCGCTAGAAAAGATACGCGCATGAGTAAAAGTTCAAAAGCATACACAAAAGTACTCACGCAAAAGTACATTCGCGAAAAGGATCATGGAAACACAAACTACAATCCTAGGACATTAATACAAATCAACAAACATGCACAAACACACTCCGTCAAATGGACATGCACAAAAACGTACATGTAGAAAAACTTGCGTAAAAGTGCATCCGCAACAACATTCTTAAAAACACGAACTACAATACTATGACTTTAACACGCATCAACAGAAAACAGCAAAAACACTAGATAAAAAAGATACAATGGAGTGTAGCAATAATACTCGACGTTTACGTTTACGTGGATTTTTGTTTGGATTCATTTATATTTCTATTTTTATTAGTGGATTTGGTTTCTTTTAGGTACAAATCGAAAATTAGGTGTCCATGAAGCAAAAATGATCAAAGGGTAAGAAAAGTGTTGCAATTAAGAAAATAAAATCAAATTAAAAGAGAGAATCCCTCAACATCTTTGGTCGTGTCCACGAAGTCGAGCATAACTCTCTCATCCAGACTCCAATCGACCGGTTCCGGTGGCATTATAAATCTATTTCAGTGGGCTACAATTCCCGTCTAACGTCAAAATTCCAAATTCGGACTCGAACATGATCAAAATTGGATAACAAAAGCGATCATGAAAATACGTACTACAAATCAAGGACGTGAATGCGCATCAAGAAACGTGAACAAAAACACTCGCTAGAAAAGATACGCACATGAGTAAAAGTTCAAAAGCATGCACAAAAGTACTCACGCAAAAGTGCATTCGCAAAAAGGATCATGAAAACACAAACTACAATCCTAGGACATTAATACAAATCAACAAACATGCACAAACACGCTCCCTCAAATGGACATGCACAAAAACGTACATGTAGAAAAAAATGCGCAAAAGTACATCCGCAACAACATTCTTAAAAACACGAACTACAATACTACGACTTTAACACGCATCAACAGAAAACAGCAAAAACACTAGATAAAAAAGATACAATGGAGTGTAGCAATAATACTCGACGTTTACGTTTACGTGGATTTTTGTTTGGATTCATTTATATTTCTATTTTTATTGGTGGATTTGGTTTCTTTTAGGTACAAATCTAAAATTAGGTGTCCATGAAGCAAAAATGATCAAAGGGTAAGAAAAGTGTTGCAATTAAGAAAATAAAATCAAATTAGAAGAGAGAATCCCTCAACATCTTTGGTAGTGTCCACGAAGTCGAGCATAACTCTCTCATCCGGACTCCAAATCGACTAGTTTCGGTGGCATTAGAAATCTATTTCAGTGGGCTACAGTTCCCGTCTAACGTCAAAATTCCAAATTCTGACTCGAACATGGTCAAAATTGGATAACAAAAGCGATCATGAAAATACGTACTACAATTCAAGGACGTGAATGCGCATCAAGAAACGTGCACAAAAATACTCGCTAGAAAAGATACGCACATGAGTAAAAGTTCAAAAGCATGCAGAAAAGAACTCACGCAAAAGTGCATTCGCGAAAAGGATCATGATAACACAAACTACAATCCTAGGACATTAGTACAAATCAACAAACATGCACAAACACGCTCCCTCAAATGGACATGCACAAAAAACGTACATGTAGAAAAACATGTGCAAAAGTGCATCCGCAACAACATTCTTAAAAACACGAACTACAATACTATGACTTTAACACGCATCAACAGAAAACAGCAAAAACACTAGATAAAAAAGATACAATGGAGTGTAGCAATAATACTCGACGTTTACGTTTACGTGGATTTTTGTTTGGATTCATTTATATTTCTATTTTTATTGGTGGATTTGGTTTCTTTTAGGTACAAATCGAAAATTAGGTGTCCTGGAAGCAAAAATGATCAAAGGGTAAGAAAAGAGTTGCAATTAAGAAAAAAAAATCAAATTAGAAGAGAGAATCCCTCAACATCTTTGGTAGTGTCCACGAAGTCGTGCATAACTCTCTCATCCGGACTCCAAATCGACTGGTTTCGGTGGCATTAGAAAGCTATTTCAGGGGGCTACAGTTCCCGTCTAACGTCAAAATTCCAAATTCGGACTCGAACATGGTCAAAATTGGATAACAAAAGCGATCATGAAAATACGTACTACAATTCAAGGACGTGAATGCGCATCAGGAAACGTGCACAAAAACACTCGCTAGAAAAGATATGCACATGAGTAAAAGTTCAAAAGCATGCACAAAAGTACTCACGGAAAAGTACATTCGCGAAAAGGATCATGGAAACACAAACTACAATCCTAGGACATTAATACAAATCAACAAACATGCACAAACACGCTCCCTCAAATGGACATGCACAAAAACGTACATGTAGAAAAACATGCGCAAAAGTGCATCCGCAACAACATTCTTAAAAACACGAACTACAATACTATGACTTTAACACGCATCAACAGACAACGGCAAAAACACTAGATAAAAAAGATACAACGGAGTGTAGCAATAATACTCGACGTTTACGTTTACGTGGATTTTTGTTTGGTTTAATTTATATTTATGTTTTTATTGGTGGATTTTGTATCTTTTAGGTACAAATCGAAAATTAGGTGTTCGGGAAGCAAAAATTATCAAAGGGTAAGAAAAGAGTTGCAATTAAGAAAACAAAATCAAATTAGAAGAGAGAATCCCTCAACATCTTTGGTAGTGTCCACGAATTCGAGCATAACTCTCTCATCCGGACTCCAAATCGACTGGTTCCGGTGGCATTAGAAAGCTATTTCAGTGGGCTACAATTCCCGTCTAACGTCAAAATTCCAAATTCGGACTCGAACATGGTCAAAATTGGATAACAAAAGCGATCATGAAAATACGTACTACAATTCAAGGACGTGAATGCACATCAAGAAACGTGCACAAAAACACTCACTAGAAAATATACGCATATGAGTAATAGTTCAAAAGCATGGACAAAAGTTCTCCCGCAAAAGTGCATTCGCAAAAAAAATCATGGAAACACAAATTACAATCTTAGGACATTAATACAAATCAACAAACATGCACAAACACGCTCCCTCAAATGGACATGCACAAAAATACATGTAGAAAAACATGCGCAAAAGTTCATCCGCAACAACATTCTTAAAAACACGAACTACAATACTATGACTTTAACACGCATCAACAGACAACAGCAAAAACACTAGATAAAAAAGATACAATGGAGTGTAGCAATAATACTCGACGTTTACGTTTACGTGGATTTTTGTTTGATTTAATTTATCTTTATGTTTATATTGGTGGATTTTGTATCTTTTAGGTACAAATCGAAAATTAGGTGCCCGGGAAGTAAAAATCATCAAAGGGTAAGAAAAGAGTTGCAATTAAGAAAATAAAATCAAATTAGAAGAGAGAATCCCTCAACATCTTTGGTAGTGTCCACGAAGTCGTACATAACTCTCTCATCCGGACTCCAAATCGACTGGTTCTAGTGGCATTAGAAAGCTATTTCAGTGGGCTACAATTCCCGTCTAACGTCAAAATTCCAAATTCGGACTCGAACATGGTCAAAATTGGATAACAAAAGCGATCATGAATATACGTACTACAATTCAAGGACGTGAATGCGCATCAAGAAACGTGCACAAAAACACTCGCTAGAAAAGATACGCACATGAGTAAAATTTCAAAAGCATGCACGAAAGTACTCACACAAAAGTACATTCGCGAAAAGGATCATGGAACCACAAACTACAATCCTAGGACATTAATACAAATCAACAAACATGCACAAACACGCTCCCTCAAATGGACATGCACAAAAATACATGTAGAAAAATATGCGCAAAAGTTCATCCGCGACAACATTCTTAAAAACACGAACTACAATACTGTGACTTTAACACGCATCAACAGACAACAGCAAAAACACTAGATAAAAAAGATACAATGGAGTGTAGCAATAATACTCCACGTTTACGTTTACGTGGATTTTTGTTTGATTTAAATTATATTTCTATTTTTATTGGTGGATTTTGTATCTTTTAGGTACAAATCGAAAATTAGGTGTCCGGGAAGCAAAAATGATCAAAGGGTAAGAAAAGAGTTGCAATTAAGAAAATATAATCAAATTAGAAGAGAGAATCCCTCAACATCTTTGGTAGTGTCCACGAAGTCGAGCATAACTCTCTCATCCGGACTCCAATCGACTGGTTCCGGTGGCATTAGAAAGCTATTTCAGTGGGCTACAATTCCTGTCTAACGTGAAAATTCCAAATTCGGACTCGAACATGGTCAAAATTGGATAACAAAAGAGATCATGAAAATACGTACTACAATTCAAGGACGTGAATGCCACTACAATAAAATTAGCTTTTAATAGCACATCTCTATAGCGTTTTTTCTCATAAATGCTATAATTGCTCTTTATATTATTTCCAAATAATAAATCCAAAAATAAAACGCTATAACATTGAAATTTATTGCGCTCATTTTCCTGGGCCTCTAAATAAAATATATTATGAGTGAAACAAAGCCCTAAACTCCCTTCCACCTCCCATGGATAATCGTCTAAAATTGAAACCCTTCATTTCTCTCAAATGTCGACCTGCACTGCCGGCAAAATGCAATCTTCGATCCTATCTCCACCACGAATTTGTCAATTTATGTATCGTCCCCTCTCAAAATCGACCTCCTGGCACACGGTTCTATCCCTTTTCAATCAGTATTGGGTATCTCTTTCTCTCTCTGTTCTAATTTTTGTCTTTTTATGAGCAGCCCTATTTTCATTTTTTTAAGCAAAAGCGGCAGTGAATCGGATCTGAAAGATATACCAAAGATTACTTGTGTGGGTGGATAAATGGCCAATTTGTATTTTGTTTTTTTTATTGAATTTTTCGAAGTGTTGATTCAGGGAATACCCATTTTCTGGTATTTTAGTTTGGTCACTTTGAGTTTTTTTTTTCTTCGTACTTATGTTTTTGTTGAATCTTGGGATTACTCTTGCCTTTTGAGTTTTGTTTGTTTTTTTTCAATACAAATAGTAATTTTAAAGAATATCTTATTTTATTATATAATATTTAAACTAGCAGTAATTTAGAATTGATGTATGTTATGCCATAGAAAAAAAAGAGGAGCAGAAGAAAGAGCAAATTTTGGACGGCAACAGTCTATGAATTTCTCGGGGACACGCATATGTTGTATCTAAAATTTTGTTTACCTTCCCTTCACCGTACATTTGATGGAAAACATTCTTTTCAGGACGTTATGCAATACTAAAGACATTACAAAAGAGTTTGATGGTAATTAAAGAAATATTTTTCTTGAGTGGTAGCACAAACTTGTAAGGTGGGCTTTCTAAGACAATGTAAGTAACGGTAATTTTCAAATGAATTCATGCTATGTGGTTCCAAAGTTATATTATTAATCCATTGCTTTTAAAGCTATCTTTCTATTCGTTTATCTGTATTTTAACATCTTCCAGTTATGGTTTTTTTTGTATTCCTAACATGGGCTTCTTGTGCAGCTTATAATATGTCGTAAGCTGGAAAGTTCATTTTTTTTTTATATTCGCTGTATCATTTGATCTCATATGGAACACCTCTGATATTTATTAATTTTTCGTTTGTCCCGATTTTGAACAGATAGAGGGTGACGAGGGTGCATATTGACTTAGCCGAAGCATTGGACTGATGTCTCTTTCTTTGTTGATTAACTTAGCCGAAGCATTAAACTGTGGAAGAATTTATCAATTTGAAATGTTTCCTCAAAGGGTATATGCAAGATCACCACATCAAGTTGTTAGTACTCTTGTTGTCATTTTCATGATTTTATCTTTACTTGACTGTACATGTACATTATCTAGTTTGATTTGGAGATAGGTTGCTTAAGGCAGTTCTTTTACTTGATTTTTGATGCAGTGATTTATGGTGCTTAAATGAGATGATCAAGTATATTCAATGTCGTGGAACCATGGCCAGAAGATTGAATTGTTCATCTGATGAACATAGTAATGTCTCTTCTATCTCTGATGATTATATGTTTCTCTAGTTTCATGTCTAGCTTAATGCATTCATCTATTTATCTATTTTTGCAGGAAAACTTTTTATGTAATTAATAGCTTAAAAGTTGTTTCGGTTACTTTGTTGTTCCTATTTGGTTATGAGAACCATTTATGCTATCTCAGAACATATATGTGAATGTGATTATTAAGTATATACAAACTGAATAATTAGAAAAATTAGTTGTTTTTTTTTTTTTACAATAAATGTGTTTAACTACTAGGTGATAACGTCATTTTTTAAATTGCGTAATGAAACAAGTTAGAAATATAGAATTGAAATTCTTATATTTCCTGATTTTGTTAACAGGAAACAAGGAATGGAAGACGAATTATGGCGTTCTCTATTGAATATGCTGAAACGATTGGAAGTGAACATGATTATTTTAGTTTTTCGAAATAACAATCTAAGTTCAGTATATAAGTTTTACTATACCTAGTGAAGGGTATCAAATCGAACAGGATATGTACATAATTTATTTTGTTATTGTGATATAATATTCTTAGCCGTTCTTGTATTATCTTGAGTTTAATAAAAATACATGTCATTGTATATTCTTGTTTGTTATTATCATGTTGAAAAAATAATTTGTTATATTATTTTTTAATAGCAATGCGAAAAGAAGCAAGATGAGATATTAGTGATTACAATTGAAAAAAACATGGCCATTTAATATTTTATATTAACCAATAAATGTTGCAAATGTTTGGGCAAACAATAGCGCAAAATATGTATCATCACCTAACATAGGATAGCGTTTACATATAAATAATAGCATGAAACAACTGCTATAAAACGGATGACAACAGCTCAAAAAGAACGCTATTATAGGATATTATACAATAGCATTTGTACAACGCTATAGTAAAGTCGGGGTCTATTATAGCTCCGGCAGACATAGCGTTTGTAAAAGCGCTATGATAGCCTACCATAGCGTTTTTCAAACGCTATGGATGAAGTTTTATGGTGTAGTGTGCGCATCAAGAAACGTGCACAAAAACACTCGCTAGAAAAGATACGCACATGAGTAAAAGTTCAAAAGCATGCACAAAAGTAATCACGCAAAAGTGCATTCGCGAAAAGGATCATGGAATCACAAACTACAATCCTAGGACATTAATACAAATCAACAAACATGCACAAACACGCTCCCTTAAATGGACATGCACAAAAATACATGTATAAAAACATGCGCAAAGGTTCATCCGCAACAACATTCTTAAAAACACGAACTACAATACTATGACTTTAACACGCATCAACAGACAACAGCAAAAACACTAGATAAAAAAGATACAATGGAGTGTAGCAATAATACTCGACGTTTACGTTTACGTGGATTTTTGTTTGATTTAATTTATATTTATGTTTTTATTGGTGGATTTTGTATCTTTTAGGTACAAATCGAAAATTAGGTGTCCGGGAAGCAAAAATCATTAAAGGGTAAGAAAAGAGTTGCAATTAAGAAAATAAAATCAAATTAGAAGAGAGAATCCCTCAACATCTTTGGTAGTGTCCACGAAGTCGAGCATAACTCTCTCATCCGGACTCCAATCGACTGGTTCCGGTGGCATTAGAAAGCTATTTCAGTGGGCTACAATTCCCGTCTAACGTCAAAATTCCAAATTCTGACTCGAACATGGTCAAAAGTGGATAACCAAAGCGATCATGAAAATACGTACTACAATTCAAGGACGTGAATGAGCATCAAGAAACGTGCACAAAAACACTCGCTAGAAAAGATACGCATATGAGTAAAAGTTCAAAAGCATGCACAAAAGTACTCACGCAAAAGTGCATTCGCGAAAAGGATCATGGAAACACAAACTACAATCCTAGGACATTAATACAAATCAACAAACATGCACAAACACGCTCCCTCAAATGGACATGCACATAAACGTACATGTAGAAAAACATGCGCAAAAGTACATCCGCAACAACATTCTTAAAAACACGAACTACAATACTATGACTTTAACACGCATCAACAGAAAACAGCAAAAACACTAGATAAAAAAGATACAATGGAGTGTAGCAATAATACTCGACGTTTACGTTTACGTGGATTTTTGTTTGGATTCATTTATATTTCTATTTTTATTGGTGGATTTGGTTTCTTTTAGGTACAAATCGAAAGTTAGGTGTCCATGAAGCAAAAATGATCAAAGGGTAAGAAAAGAGTTGCAATTAAGAAAATAAAATCAAATTAGAAGAGAGAATCCCTCAACATCTTTGGTAGTGTCCACGATGTCGAGCATAACTCTCTCATCCGGACTCCAAATCGACTGGTTGCGGTGGCATTAGAAATCTATTTCAGTGGGCTACAGTTCTCGTCTAACGTCAAAATTCCAAATTCGGACTCGAACATGGTCAAAATTGGATAACAAAAGCGATCATGAAAATACGTACTACAATTCAAGGACGTGAATGCGCATCAATAAACGTGCACAAAAATACTCGCTAGAAAAGATACGCACATGAGTAAAAGTTCAAAAGCATGCACAAAAGTACTCACGCAAAAGTGCATTCGCGAAAAGGATCATGATAACACAAACTACAATCCTAGGACATTAGTACAAATCAACAAACATGCACAAACACGCTCCCTCAAATGGACATGCACAAAAACGTACATGTAGAAAAACATGTGCAAAAGTGCATCCGCAACAACATTCTTAAAAACACGAACTACAATACTATGACTTTAACACGCATCAACAGACAACAGCAAAAACACCAGATAAAAAAGTTACAATGGAGTGTAGCAATAATACTCGACGTTTACGTTTACGTGGATTTTTGTTTAGATTAATTTATATTACTATTTTTATTGGTGGATTCGGTTTCTTTTAGGTTCAAATCGAAAATTAGGTGTCCTGGAAGCAAAAATGATCAAAGGGTAAGAAAAGAGTTGCAATTAAGAAAAAAAAATCAAATTAGAAGAGAGAATCCCTCAACATCTTTGGTAGTGTCCACGAAGTCGTGCATAACTGTCTCATCCGGACTCCAAATCGACTGGTTCCGGTGGCATTAGAAAGCTATTTCAGTGGGCTACAATTCCCGTCTAACGTCAAAATTCCAAATTCGGACTCGAACATGGTCAAAATTGGATAACAAAAGCGATCATGAAAATACGTACTACAATTCAAGGACGTGAATGCGCATCAAGAAACTTGCACAAAAACACTCGCTAGAAAAGATACGCACATGAGTAAAAGTTCAAAAGCATGCACAAAAGTACTCACGCAAAAGTACATTCGCGAAAGGATCATGGAAACACAAACTACAATCCTAGGACATTAATACAAATCAACAAACATGCACAAACACGCTCCCTCAAATGGACATGCACAAAAATACATGTATAAAAACATGCGCAAAAGTTCATCCGCAACAACATTCTTATAAACACGAACTAAAATACTATGACTTTAACACGCATCAACAGACAACAGCAAAAACACTAGATAAAAAAGATACAATGGAGTGTAGCATTAATACTCGACGTTTACGTTTACGTGGATTTTTGTTTGATTTAATTTATATTTATGTTTTTATTGGTGGATTTTGTATCTTTTAGGTACAAATCGAAAATTAGGTGTCCGGGAAGCAAAAACCATCAAAGGGTAAGAAAAGAGTTGCAATTAAGAAAATAAAAGGGGTTGAGTTTCATTTTATATACTAATGCGGAGCGGGTTCAACATATATATGTAA